ATGTCACATCCATTCCACCTTTTCTTTTTCATCAATCCCACAATTTCATGTCGCTTGCATTTCATGTCCATCCATCTCACAATTTCATGTCACATCCCTCATGAAGTTTGTTTCTCTACATTAACACTTCATGGATTAAAAGTAAACATGATATTAGTCTTTACACAAGGAAGATAAAAGTCTTGTCATCTTGAAACAAAATCTTTTAGAATTATGGCTTATGCTTATCTTTGCAATTTGCTTTTCAGTTATATCATGTTAAGAACTGGTATCCATGTTATATGGACACACTTCTTTCTTTCCATCTTTCAGATCTTGTGATAAATTTGAGTGATATAATAGGATAATAAAAGTTAAGGATTTTTATATGCATTTATGTCCATTATTGCAAATTTAAATTTGAATAATTAACAAGAATTTTAGTATATTTCCTTAACCTTAGTAAAGATCTACCCCAGACTCCTGTAATGGAGGGATTTGTGATTCTCAAAAAGAACCCAGATTATGATGGTTGATGGAAAAAATTTTTACACTCTTTGTTGTGTTGATTAAAGTCATTGACTATTACATCAGAATATGAGACACACTCATGTAATATAGTTCTCATCTTTATTATGGAGCTATTTCACATGAGTTGTGACATACATTTTTATCATGTAAAGATAGTATAAAGCAGTATTGTTTTTAACATGCTCTTGTATAAACTGAATTCAGGCATCATATTTCAATTCTTGATCTTTGCCAAGTGTGTTTTCATGTTATTTTACACATATGTGCCCAGTTGGGTCAGTAATTAAAGCTATTCAGTCATTATATGTCATGTTACAATAGGTTAATTATGAGGGTGAAATATGATTCCTTGCATTTCTTGTATTTTATGCATCTGTATCTGTCTTTTCTTCTGTCAGCAGAAGATTTCAGACAAATAAATCTTTTTCATAAAACCATTTGTATGTGCATATTTTTTCTTTTATCATTTATTGCTTTGGTTTTATGCACATAAAAGTTCAAGAAGTTATCTGTAAGTTGCTAAAAGTTTGCAACTTAGTTGAAGCTGCCCAAAAAAAAGGAATTAAGTCTCCTTGCAAGTAGTGGGGTTTATGGGCATTTTATCATTTAAAGTACATCTGATCCTTAGTTGTTCATTTATAAGAATAAACAACATCCATATGTTCTTCTAAATGATTTGTCTTATTTGTAACATAATATGTCAGTGAAATAAATTATTTTCATTTTAATCCAGAAATTTAGTTGATTATCTTTTGATGTCACATTAATCTGAAGTTGTTTATTATTATTAATGTTGTTTCTTTTGTTCAAGGTTTTCAGGTGCTTTGTTCTCCATGAGATTCTTCTGTTATGTCAGCAGTGTTCAAAAAATTTTTTTTAACATAGCCCCAGGGCTAGTGACCTAAAATCACAAGCCTGGATTCCCAATTCCCATATGCCAAAACCTTTCCTGTATTTTAATATTATTTATAACACAAATGTTGCGTTTGCTGCAATTAAAATATAATTAAGTAGTGGGTTTGATGGCAATGCATGTGTTCTTAGTGTTCATTACTGCACTCACTAGAGACTGGATTCTCCTGGTGTTCAAACTTCTCTGCTGCATTCTGTAAGCCAATCTTGGTCAGAGAACGAAGTTAACATGTTAGTATGTTGTTTTCAATATGCTCAAATAATTCTTTGCTTCTCCCCCTTTTTTTAAACAATTTGGCTGGCATGTTTCACAAAGTAAAACTCTGGTGACCAGTTCTGATATTTATTATTGTTGGGCCTTACTGATACTATTTATAGCTAATTGCTTCCTAAATCGGCTTCAAAAATGAATCACTCTTGAGAATGAATCACAGCTTGCATATTTTTGGTTTAAATATTGCGTTTGTTCCATGTCCTGAGATAACTTATAAAAATTAGCACAGTAGGCTCATCAACTGCAGTCTTCTACCATATGTGACAAACGAAGAAATATGTGAAATGGTGGTTTAAATTTGTGTTTAAAGGACTACATTAAATAAAGTAAATAAAGGTAATTTCCTGTCCCCATTAATGAGGGAGGGAATTCTTGCCTATGTGTCTTATTGTATTATTCAATGTATGAATCAGACTCTTCTACAATAAATATGCTTTTAAATTTCTTTTTTGTACCAGAACACTACCTTTGAACAATGGATGGTATGAAAAATGTAAGTGAAAATGTTCCTTTTGAGGAACTTTAAACTGGAAATAAGATCTGAGCGCAGGTTTACTCTAAGAAGGAATTTCCACTGATTGAGTATTTATGAAAGTTTTTTTTTCTCTTATTAACTTAAGGGATCATATTTGCACTAATCACTAAAAACTAAACAATTTTTAAATATTACTGTCTAGGTTGAATTGTCATCACTATACCGTTTCATTGCTACTTGTAATGTAGTCACTATTGTAGTGCAAGTCCATCCATGTAATCTTTATATGAATCTCTCAATTTTCAGATGGAAATAAGTTACAACCTACATTTATTTCATTAAATTATGTTAAATTAGATTTTTCATTATATTGCAACAATATTATTTAAAAACAGCATGAACAATATAATTGTTGGCAATTATATAAATCTGTAAGAAATGTGTCATCTGCATGATATACAGTTTATTCATTGTTGCCTTTAATGGCTTAAACGGTAGAACATTATTGCATGATATTGATGCACCAGGTTTGAAAAATCAATTTTTGAATTTTTTTCTGTTAGAATTAATATTCATAATGACGAGAGCTGTCAATTTACAGGTTTGACATAAAGTTTCATTAACTGCTCAGATTTTTCACAACCCACACATTTTCCTGTACACTCATCTACAAAAACTAAAACAGGTTTTAGACTGAAATTTTTTTAATTTGCTTACTAAATCAATGATTTTTCTAACAGTTACTGAAATTAGAAACAATTTGTTTCCAACCAGTGGGAACCATATCCACAGTGGGGATGGTAGCTAAGTAACTGAAATGATTTATGATTTTTTTTTAATTGAAAAGGATATTTGCATTACTTCTATACTTCTACCCCAAACCCAGCAAAACGTAGTTCAATCTATTTATCTAAATACTGCATAATTATTGTAATAGCATAATTTCTTTATTTCATTAAATGTTAATCTCGTAACTTTATACACTTACTGCTAAGTATAGTAACTAAACCAAACTACATTTACAGCTGAAAATCTTTTCTTTAAAGGACAACATGCTTGAATGTAAGTTCTACTATTATTACTACTAGTAATAATAAATAATAAACAGCAGTAATAATAATACTAAAAGATAGAGCCCACCTACCTATAAATACATAAAGAACACTTGTCATTTCCAGTGAAGGTAACAAAACAATATATTTGGCAAAAAAGCGAACTTACAGCTCCAATTAATGCCTTGTTTACCATCTTATCATGCAATAATATTAAATAATATTTAATTTGGAACAATTTTTTAATTTAGCAGTTTTCAGCTGACGTGTTAAATTTTTTTTGCCTCCAGTGACCATTTGGAATAGTTTTAAAAATTAAACTTTATTTATAGAGCTTTATAACCTCTAAAATAATAATAATGTATATTACAAACATAAACTGAGTGTATAGTTAATGGTAAAGCAGTATCTATGTTTGCTAAATGGACAAGAATACTTGTCATGTCTTTTATGAGATTCAGTAACCATGACAACAAACATGTGAACTGATGTCAGAAATGTTAACCATCTCATATGTGCAGTATACATGATATAATGACATTTAGAGATGGGGGCAGAAAATGTCCCTTTTTCACTTTAGTCCTTTCAAATTACAGTATATGATTTGGGAGTTATTTTTATTAATATTCATTCCTAAACAGGTGGTAAATACTTTTTTTTAAATTACAAATATTTTATTAAATTTTTTCAGTTTTTGATCGCATGGTGATTATTGATGAGTTATGTGTCAAGGCTTGTTCAAAAGTAACAAAGAAAAGAGTGAAGCGAACAAGCTTTGTAAACTTTAACAAAATTTATTTCCCTTGAAAACAAGGTAAAAATATGAAAAAGAACTTACGGTTTGTGAATTTAATCCAAAATTAATCCTAGCACTTAAAAATATAAGTCCCATTACTAAAATGTTCTAAATGAGTAAGTTTAAATCCCGATGAAGTTCCCAGATTAAAGGCGATGACGTCTTCTTATCCTGTTTTGTGCTGTTGTGTCACAAGCTCCTTGTTGAATTTTAAAAAACAAGAATAATATTCCCGATTTAGAATTCTGAATAATTTCCAATAAATGTCTTTCTCCAAAAATTTTGAAGAAGAGCACTTGTATGTTTTCCAGAGAAATTAATTTCTGATTCCGAAAACTAGAAAAACCTAACTCCAATCGGTCACAGCACAAAATACCTTTGAGCTCTGAATTCAACCACTAAAAGCGCTAACTTTAAAAGCAATTTTAGATCACGTGATGATGTCACGTGGTCACTTAATTCGAAGAGCGCAGTAAGACAAAAGGCCGATTGACACATACGCCATTGACGAATTTGATTCTACTTAACGAATCTTATTGTACGAATCAATAACAAAATATATAAAAAGGTTGTTTACAACAGAGCTGATACGCAGGCAAAATATGACTTTGATTATGGCCAATAATTTTCATTCTTGTGTTTACCAATTTTAAATCAATGTCCGGAACTAGGTCAGCTAAAATACAATGTAGCAACATTTATTTACTTGAACTGAATTTTCTGGAAAAATGTCAAACCAAGTGAATAAAGTTTTCATTACAATAACATGTAATGAAATGAAAATGAAATAAACGATTTAAAACTAACAAGTAATTAAATTAATATACGTAACATATGCATGTTGTTAAAGTTTCGGAAGCACTGCCCATTTCTTGCTTAATAGTTAGTAATGGGTGTTGTTTTATTTACGTATTAACAAGCTAGATTATTAATTTATAAATTTTTCTTGTTTTGCTTTATTTTGTTTCAGTAAAAACCGGCGCTCCGGTGGCCTAGTGATTAGAGCGTCCACCTCGGATGCAGGAGGTCGCGGGTTCGAACCCCGGCAGAGTTGTACCAAAGACATAAAAATGGTACTAATAGCTGTCTCGCTGGGCTCTAAGCTCTAAGAGATTATTGTTAGTACTGGTCAGCCTAGTGTAAAGATAGTGTGACTTCGACATCATGCTACATGTCTGCGGCATGATACCCCAGTGCTAGACAGCACTATAAACTGCCACACTGCATTGTAGCGAATATTTTAAAGGTACGTTAGAAAATCAAGATAAAACATACACACACACACACTTTCAGTAAAAACGTAAGTGTAATAAGTGCAACAGACTGTAGGCGAGGAAGACATGCACGAGTCGTTTCTTGTGGGTACAACATGTACTTCATCAGAACCGTGTAGTGTGGGCTACTTATTTTCCGAGAGTGTTTGTACTACGGTTTTATCGAAAATTGACCAAGACAAAGAAAGTGGGTGACGATGACGTACAATTTTAAATTCTTAAGGTGGCGTTAACCAGTTAATATGTACTGTTGAGATAGTGACGTATGTAAGGTGAAGTTTGCATTTTAAACAGAATACAGTGGAGAGAATGATGGCATACCTATATGCTACTTTGATGTAATGTGGCTGACATTTCTTTGGATATTGTACTTTTGGAAATTGTAAATTATCTTATCACACTGCTAACTAAAATGACTGCTCCCTTGTGCTCTAAAAATCAGCCTGAATTTGTCTAAAGTACACTATACTTAGTAGCTATTAAAATTAGGAAAATGAATTTTTCCAGACTTGACAATGCCACCTTCTGAAAGTGCAATGAATACATTTATAAATATATAGAATGTAAAACAAGAGTCATCGGCTCCTTTTGCTCTTTTCAAACAATTTACCACTATAAACTGCCACACTGCAGACATCGTAACGATATGACTGAAAAATTGTTAAAGCTACGTTAAAAAATCATAAACATCAACACACCATCAAACAATTTACCTCTGATTTCTGAAAAAGAAAATGACAAAGTGGAGCTAGCACTTTTTTTTGGAAAGATACAAATGTAGAGTAAGGTTAAGCTGTATACTCTATAACCCATACTACACCCATTAATCATACACCAAAATAAAGGGAATTAAAGGTTCTTTGAACAATACCGAAGATACACAAGGTCTTGTTTTAAATAGCCGGTATAACTAGTGAGGAAATCCGGGGTATTCTTTTTCTTCAAAAATACGAAACTGTAGAGCGTCACCTAAGGTAATTCTGATACAATGGTGGTTCGTCCTCCATTTTTAAGCAACCCAGGTGGTATAAAACCATCAGTGTGTGGCCTTCAGGCTTGTAAATCCTGGTGCATGGAAGTTCTTAACCGATCCAGCCTATTCTGTATCCGAAGATAACGATCTTCCAACCAGTTGGACTGGCATTACAGCAGTCTTAATCAAGGGATCTTACAGGAAGATCCGTCCTTCTCGCCAGGCCTAAACCAAAATCTCATCCTATTTCCAAACTGGAATCTTTTCTGAGTCTTAACAGGGTTCAATAAAGAGAAAATCAAGCCGATTGCCCCGACTTCGCTGAAGCTGTTTTCTTGAAAAACCAGTTTTTCGGTCGCTTTATTTTTGACATGAAGGGTGCACATGTTGCATGCCCGTTCAGTCGACCCGAACTATCTTTAGTTCTGATCGGATGTTTTGATGATTCTCATTACACAACCAGTCTTTGTAGCCAATAACTGGTTGCAGTTAGTGCGCAACCAAGAGAGTCGACATACGTTCCCTGTCGTGTCAAGAAAATTCCAGAGTAACGGCCACGCAGGATCCTATATGTGCCTTCAAGCACTGCTTGAAGCACTCAGAGATCGGTCGCAACAAATGCAAACGAATCGTTGTTCCACGAAGGCGAGAAAGCGGGATATTTCCTCTCAAATCTAATCTTCCTGGCTTAAAGTGGGTTATATGTTCGGTGTACTCCTAAATCTCAAAATATCAGTCACCTCGGTAGATTAAGAAATAAGAACGATCATTGGAAGCTTCGCGTTTTGATCCGAGATGTCATAGAACCCGTTGACTGACATGCAGAATCGGTCTTTATATCTGGGATTTTACTCGGCAGAGACAGTACCTGAATCTGGTGGGTCTTGTGGTTGCGGCCTATATGACCACCAGACTTAGCAACATAACGTATTAGCTTCACTGGATTCGCCAGTAAATTTTTACGGTAAGAAGGTTGTAATGATCTTCATAATATGATAAAGCTGTCACGAATTACGTGACCATAGGCAGTTTTTCTTTAAGTAAAAAGGGATTATCGTTCATATGGGAAATCCAATCATTCTTCCCCAAAAGGATACCTGAGGAACAGGTAGGATGATCTGTATTCACTGCTCCTTTTAAATATTCTCCTAATGTTAACGTGATCATGGGCTTTATTCAGTAGAGAAATCATTTTATCTAGCGAATTCTGTTTCTCAGTGAATATTTAACCGATCACATAGCTTAAAGACCTACAGACCACTCCGCTTTATGAGGATCCCCGTTGGTAGTTGCTCAGCGTAACAACAAATGACACCTAGTGGTGGCAACGGTATGGACAAGAGTTATTGCGCTTTGTCCAAATGCCGGAGACAAAAGTTGGATTTTAGTATTTTTATAACACTCGATAAGGGAACAAGCAGGTTTATATATGTAACATTAATATCATCGAGCAAATACTTTTTTTGGAAAAACATAATTTGCTTTACACATTTGATATTCTTATAATATCTCAAGCAAAATAATTCTGCCCCCTGTCAGAAAGGTCTTTATTTCAGTCGTCGTCTTTGGGAGTATCTAGAAGGTATTTGACATTTTGGTGAAAATTTAGTTGGATGTGGCTTACGTCAGTCGCTCATTAATGGATTTTCATTTTTAAAAAAAAACTGTGTTGTTTAGTTGTTACCAAGACACACACTATATATATATATATATATATATATATATATATATATATATATATATATATATATATATATATATATATATATATATATATATATATATATATACACACAGAGAGAGAGAGAATGATTCCCATCTTAACATGCCAAAACCCCGGCACAATAATATAACTAATACCTCACCTTCAAAGTAACAAATGCTATCAACCAAACGACACTGACTCAACGGACTCAACCTACTACCATGATATTTTGAGGTAAGTTCCACAATTGCCACCAGAAGTGTTTTTTTTAATATATTTTAACTCGGTTGATATATCTTTTGTTATGAGTGTTCGTCGTTTTCAGGTTGTTGACGTTGCGGTTAACGAGATTTTGGACAACGTATATCATTCCTTTCATGCTATTGTTCCAATATGTTTGCTATTTTTAGTCAATTTGTCTTTCAGAGAATTGGTTCCTGTAGTCTTACGTTGGTCTACTTGCTTGCTCTTTCATTGCCCGTGATATCTACGTGGGACATAATTAGCAGAATTTTACTACTTTTTCAACCTTTTTTAAAATTGGGTTGGTTTCCGATGGGATACTTGCTCTGCTCTAGCGGTCCTAATGCGCTTAAGGAGTCGCTTAGTATGACTGATTTATTAGTTTTACAGTCGAGTATTCGTTTGAAGGCTTCATCGATTGCCCAGAATTCTACGGAGTATATAAATCAGTCATCGGTTAGTCTACCTCCTAATGCCATATTCTTCCTATGTATAAATATGGGAACTGTCGTTCTGTTTGGATCTTTCGACTTGGATCGATCTATAAACATTTTCGTGTAGCCGGTTTATTTATTATCAATTTCTGTGAGAATTTTACCTTTAAGATTCGATGGCTTTTCCGATTTGCTTCCGATTGATGTTGCTTTGAATTTGATTGTTGGGGTCGTGCAAAGCTACGAGTTGGAACAATATATTTAATCTGTTCTACTTAGATGTTGTCAATTTCCAGGTCCTTTATTTGTTCGTAGATCATTTTACCACCCCACCTCCCTGGTTTGGAGAAACTAGTCGCAAGAAAATGTTTGTTGCATATTTCGATGATCTTCCTTGTTGGGCATGTCATATCTTGGATAAAAATTAATGTCGCGTATATAAAGATTGATTCCTCTCTAATGAAGATGTAGTGGATGCTCTTCTGCTAAGATTTGCAGTTCTTCTGTTGAGGTATTTTTTAAAGCCCCTGTACATATTATGAGCGTTGTTTTGCAAGCTATCTAGTTTATTTAGGAGTTTTGGGCTTGCTGTCGCGAACACTTGACAGCCGTAGTCTAATTTTGATCTAATTAATGAAATGCAGTCGTCAACAGTGTATCCTGGTCTGCTCCAGTTTGTTCCTTTCAGGTTGTTGAGGAGAATTAAATCTCGGCTGCATCTTTTGATTCGGTCTTCTATGTGTTATTTCCATGAAAGATGTTCATCAAAGCACATGCCCAAGAATTTGGCCACCTTATCAAAACGTAATGGAATGTTACTTGAGAATTGGGGGATCTCTATTTGTTTTCGTCTCTGAGGAGAAAAGAGCCTCTATTTGTTATGAGTCTATGCTCTTAAAATAAGTAGCAGAAAAGAGGGAAAAGCAACAAGCTTTGTAAATTTCAACAAAGAATTTATTTTCCTAGAATACAAAGTGAACATGAGAAAAAGAATTAATTATGTTACGAATTAAATCCCAAAATAATCCAAGAATTACATACGCAAAGTTCTGAATAACATTCAGTAGAAGTCCAGAATAAATCCAAACACAGTAGGCGAGGATGTGCCTTGTTAGATTATAGCTTTTATATGTCAACAGTCTTTTATTGAATCACAGTAATATAATTCCAGGTTTGATTTCACTATAAATTCCAGCGAATGTCTCTATCCGAGAAATTTATTACAGCGCTTTTGTATTTCCATAGAAAATAATCACTGGAATTCAATAATCTGAAGAAATAAAATTCAGCCGAGCTAGACACAATATGTAATACAACTTTAAAGAGCTAGATCTTAAAACACAAAAGAAAAATTCTTTCAGTTCCAAGATCATAAAGTTCTCAACTAGACCTCGGGTCAATAGAATTATTACCTAATAGAAAATAACTTT